GTGGCGTGATTTGAGAGAGACTGCATATGTGATAAGGAAAGGCGGTAAGAGTTCCAGTCCGGTTCATTTTTATTGTAACTCAAAGGCAAATCCGTGCCAAACCCCTTATCCTTATACATGGCCTTATTGGCGATGGATAAGGACTGTATCAGTGCCCATACAAAGCCAGGTTCTGACTGCAAGTCACAGTAAACAGAAAAACGTTTATTGGCTGAATCAAAAATATCGTATTTTCTTGATTCTGCGGCTCCGTTGTTAGCGATGTCTTTGCAGTTTCTTGGATGTGTAGTCTGACCACAACGCTTACCAGTGTATTTGTAAGAACAGGTGCAGTTAAACCTGGGGCTGTGGTTGTCACAAATCTCCTGACATACTCCACCGTTGAGGCAGGGATTCTGGTTGCAGCATCTATTAACGCAACGATGTATCCCTGGAATGTAGCTTTCTCCACCCTAATTGAAAATGAACCTTTTTTTCCTTAAACTATTCCTTGATTAAAGTTAAGTTCAGCAGTGCAGATATTCAGAAACAAATTTATTGGGGGGGGGGAGACGTACAAAAAAGAATTGGTCTTAACTTGCCTACATCAAGTTATAGATGCACGTAGGAACTAGGCTTTAAGAGCACGAGAGAAGCGTAAGAGTTGCTTGAGTGATTTTCAAACTTCCCAAGTCCGTCCATAACTCGATACACGCACAGCTAAAGCGTGAACAAATTTCGTTATAACATAGCATGCAGACACAAGTTGTGCTCGAAAGAAAAGAGTTTATTACAACTTTGTCGGATTTACCAGGTAATCGTGTTCTACCTGAAAACTATGAATAAATGACAAGGTAAAAGCGCCCAAGAAATATTTTGAGACCAAATCTTTATTCAAGGAATCGCAAATTTTCTGCTCCAAAAGGAAAAAATTTATTAACCAAAAATTGTTTAGCTTTGTTCTAAAAATTCTGAAAATCGTACGATTTCTAACACAAAATCTCCTATTAAACAAAACTTTGATATATATCAACGCTTCAAAAGTATATTTTCCGTTCTAATGAAGAGTTTCCATTGTCGCAAAGCCTCAGTTGAAGTCAGAAACTTAGCTCTGTTCCATAATTCTCATCGCGTTTGTGAATAATCTATTGTCAACTCCGAAACTAATTACGTCGCTCGAAGAGCTACATGCTCATTGCTTTTTTCGAAACGAGTCTTATTCAGTATATTTTGTTTTCATTTTGAGCTACAAAGGTCTATCTCAAGCGGGATAGAACGGAAAAACAATCTTCAGTGATAGTTTTGAATTCTCGGGGCTGAACTAAATGGGACTTTTAGCCGAAGTGAAACTGCACACTTCATGTTATGGATGCAATGACGAGCACTAAATATACATTCAGTAATTTGTTATATATTTAAACTTTTCCATAAACAGTCACATGGCAAAAACATGCTGTTGTATTTGGCGCGTGGGTAACAAACGCCCAATTGTATCCCGGTCGGGATACATTTGAATTTTATCAGGGGCACGTGACCAAGAATTAACCAATTACAGTTCTCGTTTTGTTGAATGAAAGTCCAGGTATATAAAAAGAATTCTTAGTATGGTAACTCCCTCGCGCGCTATCTTGTGATAAAAATTTAAGTGAAAAGAAAAACTAAGACAATTCTATCAACAACTAATGATTCTATCTCTCACCTTCACCGTGTAGCCTCTCACCGAGTCAAAATAATATCCTCCTTGACTCCATTTCATCGCCGCTGGCTCCATGTCTTTGTTAGCGTCGTTGAGCTCACAGTTATTTTCTTTAGACAGAGGGAAATAATTCATGAATACTCACAGGCAGTCATCTTTGCACTTCAAGTGACACTGGGTGGCGCTGTGGACTGTCAATCTTTGAAACACGTGACCCTCAAGAATACGATTATAGACGACATGCTCATCGATAACAAACTTGAAGTTTTGACAATTTACTGTTGGCTGCGCCTCTTTGGTGTGAGTGAGCTGAGATACCAACAACATCGCATGTAGATAGCGAAGAACACTCATGATGGACCTTAAAAACGTACAAATGAGATGGTTATCTTAATTCCATAATTATACCAAGGCATTTAAAATGTAGTTAGTAGCAATCGGAGTCTACTTAGAAAAAAAGGCAAAAAATTGTGAATAGGTACATGATCGTACTATGGTGTAAACGCGACTCGACCTCAGGTTATGATCAAGATCTTAACTAGCGTTTTAAAATGTTTCCTTCTTTTGACGCAAAAGTGATTACGTAATGCTTATTAAGAAATGGACCATTGTTCTCCAGGATCGAAATTCTCGATGACAGATTAAATAACTAATATAAAAAATTGGCCGAGATTGAAATGAGAATCGGAGGTACAGTGCGCATGGCGCACCAGATATATTTTGCTGTGTTGATGGTACAAAAAAGTGACTTATCGAATAAGTCACGACGCATGAGTTTTGTTCAATCAACGGAGTAGAAACAAATTGCATGTTGTCTCTTCCCTCCAGTAGTTCAGTAACAAACTTTTAGTTTTAACTGAGAACTATCTCACTGCACTAACCTTAAAATGTCCATTGTTTTATGGCTTCAGTAAAATCTTTCGAGAAAGATTTGCGGGCGAACAGATGTTGTTGAAACTATATGTATATCCAGTATTATTATATACTCAACAAAATATCGCGTTTCTGATTGGTCAATGATAAATGCATAAATAGGTTATAGAGTGCAATAGAGGTTATAGAGTCCAATACGGAGAAGTTGCCATGGAAACACCGGGGAAGCGCCAAATTTGAACACCAAATTATAAAAAAATCGAGAATATAATAAATAAAAAATCGTATGAACCTGCTCGTGCATTTCGTGATTTATGGTCACTCGTGATGTTTTGAAAGTTCTCATCACTCGTGCCCATAAATCACGAAATGCACTCGCGTTCATACGATTTCCTATACATATCGATGCACCTTTATACTTGAAGAATAATATAAAAACACGATAATGAATCAATTAAGATCATTGGCTCTGTTTAAGACGTTACCTTGAAGTCATCCGAAATAAACAATGGATAAGATATTGCAATTCTGTTGACACAGAATTCAACCGATAGTATTTTACAACTAAAAATTTGCATCAAATGAATGAAATCCGTCACAGTTACAGCGGTGATCAAAATTTGATTAACCTTTTAAATATCGGGAACTTTTAACATTTCAGGTCAAAAGTTCTCAACTTTTCTGGGACAGTTAACAAAGTGTCCCTCTCACCATTAGCTTTCTTTTGGCTCATATTAACAACGTTTGTTTTTCCGAAGTCGTTAACCACGCACCAGGACCACTACAGCAAGCCATGAAAAAAAAGGTCGGTGGAACAAAGGTTGTTTGTTGCCATCCACTGTTTCCTAATTAGGTAGAAATGAGAACTGTCCAACATTAAAGAAACAATTTAAACTACCAGTGTCCTCCTGAGCTTAAACATACCGCGAGAACACCAATTGATACCGACAACAATAACTAAGACGGCAGTAATGGCGTAAGTTCAGAAAGACATAGCTGAAACTAAAACTACCGTCACACCATCGCACAGCTGGTTTGCATACTTAGCGAAAAAAGCTAAACTATGTTAGTTTAAAATCGCGATCATTTTTCTCCATTACAAATTTATTCTTCGTAGGGTATCGATAACCAAAGCAATCTTTCTTCGATTTCGAGTTTGTTTCCCATCAGGCTCCATGCGTCAGTATGTACTTCATCATTTGACCGGCAAGACCACGACAGAAAAAAATTTTACAAGAAAATCTACTACTTTATTTATTCGAGTCTTACAATTCATTAAAAAAGCGACTTCTTTCAATATATCTGTTTTGTTTTCTCATTTCCAACGTTAGAAGTAATGTTCTTGGAAAATGTGGCAGAATCATGCGACTGCATGGTGAAAGGCTATTCGGGAGTTTAAGATTTCACAACGGCGACGTGTGGTAAAATGTTGCTGAAAAAAACGTTATTTATTATCTACTAAGTTTCTTACCAATAGCTCGATGTGTTAACCGTTTCTGACGGTGCGACATCTTAACTTCGGCATAACATGGGAATGTGGTGACAAGTTCAAAGTAAAAAAGGCAACTAAATCGCTGTGGAAGTAACCTTGTTGAGAGAAGGTATTAGTTGGTGATTTCACGTCTTTGTTCAGTATGGGGCGGACGGCTGAGAAATGTACAAAGTTTTAAAACGCACGGGTTTCGCTATTGTTTAGCTCATTAGATCTTTTGTTTCGCTACGTTCTCGCTTTCGTCGCCGTCGTGGTTTTTTCTAAAAAGGGCCTTAAGATCCAAAGACGGCGAGGACGTGAACTTGGGGGAATGGGGAGAGGTCGCCGTCGTAAGGCGCGAAAAATAACCTTAAGAACACTCGTAGAAGATGCAGTCTGCTCCACAACAAGCAATTCTCCTTCTTTCCACTTCTGAACGCGATAATTTTTGTCACGCAAATATGCAATTGTGTCACCTCCACTTCTACTGCTTTTTTTGCTTTGGTTTCACTTCTTCCTCCTCTTCATTCCGCTGCCTTTCCTGTGTTCCGCTCAGGTTTTCTACAGCCTCTGTTTCTCATTTCCGCTGCTTTTGCGTTGTCAATTTTCTTCTTATCGTTTTCTACGGTGTCTTCAGCTGCAGCTGCGGCTATTTCTTCCAGAGCCTTTTCCAACCTACTCTAATGACATTCAATTCCACTTGCCTTTTCTTCTTCTTTCATCTTTGTTTTAAATTTCTCGCTCAGCATATGTTTCTTTCGCTAACAGCAAGCTCACTGACTTTGAATCTGAAAAACTATAATAATGTTTAGCTTCAGTGATTTTTTTCCTTAAACAAACTCGGGTAAATTATCCAGATTAAATTCCTTGTTTAGTTTTAATACTCATTACGAATATGAACTGAAAACAACTTACTGGACTGTCTTATTTGAACTCGTCTCCATTTCAGCCTATTTGAGTCACGAACTTTTGAAGCTGTTAAGAAGGAGAAAGAAACTTCGGTCAGTTTTCGTCTTTGAATGAGTTCTACAACCATTTACATTTGTCACAAGTTAGGAAAAATGTTGACAGTTCATTATATATTGAAAATATACGATAAGTTCATTTGAAATGACCTTAAAGTAAAAGAAACTTACTTACGTTTTAGACAAAAGGCAAACACTTCGTTTTGACGTCGCAGACAACACAGCTACGGTGGAAAACTTCGCGCACCGGCCACCGGAAATGTGCCAGCAAATATTTTAAGCTTCCGCTCGCCGTCGTCCCTAAAGTCCCTATTTGCGGATCAGTTTACGTCAATCTGTCGGGCCCTACATCAATTGAGGTTTTCAGCCAATTCAGAGGCTTTCATCCACCATTTCGCCATTATTGATGACTAACACGTCAATGTTGCGTGCGGTTGAACTGGATTCCAGATAATGCTGGGCATTTTAATCGGCCACCCACGCATGTACAATGTAGCCATTCAGAGTATGGAGTTACCGTGTTTTTGGACCGAAATCTGGCAGCTCTTGTCCAATAGAGAACAATACGAGTCAGAATAGGATTATGATTTTGCATGCTCACCCCCAACTATCTCGAATACCTTGAGATTATTCCATAGAAAGTGCGTACGAACGAGTTTTATTCACGGGTTGCGATACACCACAAAAAAAATGAAGAAGTGAGCGCAGCGAATGAATAAGTATTTTGATGCATCGCACTTTCCATGATATGAAGTTTTTATTTCATTCATACTTAGATTTTTTCTCATTGAACAAAAAATTTCAAAGATTGAAAGTAGACGACTTTTCAACGACGAATGTGAAAGAAGACGATTTTATCGAGCTTTTGACTTTTAAAATGTAATAGTGTTATCTATGGAACATGACTTGAATAGTGAAAGTCAAGGTAAAAAGCGTTTGTAGAGAGACCGCCTAAAAACGCAAAATTTAAATATTAAGATATAGATGCTGAGTATTTAAGGTTGCCTACGACGTAGCTCTTGTGTTTGTCTACATTCCTCTTTGATAAAGAGTCAGTGTAACCATCTGAAATATTTAACGTTTAGTTCAAGTTCAACTCCTGAGGAGGACCACATTTGAAAGCATACGTATGATGTCATTGTTTGTTCTTAGCCTTGCTCTAATGGTTTCTCAGAGTGGTATTTTGTGGGCTGAGTTTCCTTTTCTAAAGAAGAAAATGAATCCACAAAAAGTCATAAATCATATTTAGCTCAACACCTGTGCTGGGTTGTGGAAGCAGGCGAAGACGAGCAGCGGTGATCCTGATTGCTATCGTTGCAGCCATACTCCCCGAAATTGTCTTCCTTGTTGATGAGTCCTCCTGCTCCTCCATCAAATTCACATCCCCTCTCAATGCTACCACAAACCGTGATGTGCCAGGATGCCTCCTCTGACTTTTTCAATTTTTGCTTTGCTCTTCAATATGAGGCAAATACTTCCTCCTTTATATCACTCAAACCAATTAAACTAGAAGAGACCAGAAACAATGAAAAGAGCTCGCCATGAGGTGTTTCTCATCGAGAAAGATCAATACTTACGGTTGGATGTCAAAGCTTATTGTCTCAACAATTAGAAGGAAAAAATTTGACCACGGTATTTCCGTATGTTTCCAAGGAGGAGCTGAGTGTGATTCAGTTGAATAGCCCTTTTTTTCTTTTAGTACTCCTCAGAAGTGTCTTAATAGCTAAAAAAGGAGTTTAACTTTTTTTTTCTTTTTTTTCTTTTTTTGAATGTTTGGAATGACTTTTTAAAGCAGTATCAGTACGCAAAGAGAAAAAATAGAATTTGTGAAACAATTTAAGGAAACGGTACAGAAACAATCAAACTTAATTTACACCACGCACAAAACTAGTGTCCCTGGTTGGCACAGTGTCGTTTCTCAGAAAGCACTTCATATTCATCCCTTGGGTCTCCATCATGCTGTTTAATATGGACAAGTTTCGCTCATAGCATAATTGTTCAAAATTTGCCAAACAAAGCGACGTTTACGGCCAAGTTGGATCGTTACGATCGTGTCTTTGTCTGCAGACAAATTTCACCCACCAGCAACACAATATCGCCCTCGTTGCCCAATTCGACTGAATTCGATTTTATGTTACCAAAGTGACGTCAGCGGTTTTTTGTGAAATGGTACTTTGGCCGCGCAATTCGAATACCTTTTTTGAGGGGAAAATAAGATGATGTCTCACATTATGTATAACAATCCTGAATGACGTTTACACTTCACTGGTGCTTCTCTTGACAAACACCTGCTCCGACAACTACACCTACTTCATCTCCTAAATTTTAAACATTTCAAAAATTGTTCTAAGAACAAATGTGCAATGTTATTAAGTAAGCAGTGATCCTAACGAAGCACTTAAGTACCTTAGTCCTTGTCAAAGAGAGGCTGTTGAGGGCTTCTCACAGTTATGTATCGAGTCCCTAATATTAAAATCAAGCAAAGCTGAACATATTTATCACCAAGGAGAAATTACTAATATCACTGCCACTAAGTAAATACCATTTCTCCTCACTGTGCGGATTTTTAAAGCGAAATCAAGAAACCTAAACTTAAAGCTTGGTTTTACAAATGATCAAACTAACGAAGCCGAAGCTAATTTTCAAAAAAAAGAAAAGTAAAGTAAAAGTTAAGAGAAAACGGTTGATTGACCGAGTCAAGAAAGTGTCGCCCTACGACGACAAAACATGTCATTATTAAATTAATAGCGTACAGAGGTATTTAAACCTCTCTGAATCTAAACACAAGCATTTCAACTTACGGTTACTCACTTGCTTGAAAATAATTTGCATAAATCAACTAATGGTGAGCTCTGAATGTGTTTTCAAAGACGAATATAAAAAAGACCAATTTTATCGACCTTTCACTTTTAAGATGTAAGTGTATTATCTATTGAACATTACATGAAAAGATGAAAGTGCAGGTAAAGAGTGTTTGCTCAGAGACCGCCTAATTCCTTCAATTATTGAAATATGGACGCTGTGTATCTAAGGTCTAAGGTTGCTTATGACGTCACTCTTGTGTATGTCTGCATTCCTATATGATAAAGGGTCAGTGTAACTATCTGAAATATTAAACGTTTAGTTCAAGTTCAACCCCTAATTGGACCAAACTTTGAGGCACTTGATGTCATTGTTAGTTCTTAGCCTTGCTCCGATGTTTTCCTACTTTCAGTTGGCTGTCTTTCCTCTTCTGTGAAAGGAAATAAATTCGCAAAAAGTCACTCGTCATATTTAACTCCAAACCAATGCTGCGTTGTAGAAGCAGGAGAAAACGAGCAGTGGTGATCCGGATTTGTGAAATTTTCGTCAAATTTTCCGAAATTTTTTTCACCGGAGACTCCACCTGGTTTTCCATCAAATTCACATCCCTTTTTTATGCTATCGTAACTCTTTATGTGCCAGGACTTATCTTCCTTTTGTTTTGTGCGGGCGGTGCAATTAGAACAATAGATTCCTCGGATATTGACATATTCGTACATCTGGCAGGTGTCCCAGGTACCAAAAATGTCATGACCTGCCAGCTTAGCGCGTGCGTAGTCCGTATACTGCAGACCATCCGTAGAAAAGTTACAAGTTACTCTCAGATGCGTGGAGTGATTAGCAAGATACTGCATCTGTAATAAGGATAATCGGAACTCGTTCCAATTTACTTCCTCCTCTTCAATATCAATCTCAAGATTTTTGCCAAACCCTGCATAATTGAAGGAATTTTTCTTGGAAAAGGAAAACGATTGTATTAACGTCCATACAAAGCCAGGTTCAGACTGCAAGTCACAGTAAACAGAAAACCGTTCATTGTCTGAATTTGAGATGTTGTATTTTCCTGATGTCGAGGCACCGTTCTTAGCTATGTTTTTGCAGCTTCTCGGATGTTTCATCTTCTTCTCACACCGCTGACCAGAGTATGTGTTAGGACAGGTACAGTTAAACCTGGTGCTGTGAGTGTCACAAATCTCTTGACATACCCCTCCATTGAGGCAAGGATTGGTGCGGCAGCATCTGTTGATGCAATGATGCTTCTCTGGTGTGTATCTGTCTCCACCCTACAGCAAGATTAAAATAATTTTTTAGCTCACCATGCTCATAGAATTGGGCTGGCATGTACTTTTGAGCAACCACCGAAAAAACTCACCGGAATCGGATCGAATTGATAACAAACAGTGCGAGCAAAGTACGTATGCGTGCAACACATAGCGGGGTGCCAGAATGGAGATGAAATGTCCCTCAAAATTAGATTTGAAATGCAGTAATCAGCAATGGTAAAGTCCGTGATGTCTTTATGAAATTTGTAGTCGCTTCTGTTCTGCCGTTCCCTTCGCATTACAACATGGCCGTTAAGAAAAAAGTTTGCGAGAAAGACAATGAACCCAATCCTCTCTTAGCCAAATCAGTTTGTTTTGGTTTTGTCTAGACCAATCATATCGCAGACAAAACGATATGTACAAAATTGTCTTTAGCCCAGACTGACATATAATATACCTTTTTTTTTAAGGAGTACCGCAAAACTTGATCATGTGGAAATATTTATTTTATTTACGAACTTGAACATCTTGGGATATTTACTTTGTTTACGAAAGTTCATAAATCAATGAGTAAAACATTAGATAAATAATCTTATCTCACCTTCACCGTGTAGCTTCTCACCAAATCATAATAATTTCCCCCTTTCCTCCATTTCATCGCCGCTGGCTCCATGTCTTTGTTAGCTTCGTTGAGCTCACAATTGTGTTCTTTGGACAGAGGGAAATAATTCATGGATACACACAGGCAGTCATCTTTGCACTTCAAGTGACACTGGATGGCGTTTGGGACTGTCAATCTTTTAAACAAGTGACCCTCAAGAATTTGGTTATGGATGACATCGTCATCGATAGCAAACTTGAAGTTTTGACAAGTTACTTTTTTCTGTGCCTCAGTGGAGAGGGTCAAATTGAATACAAACAGCACGACTTGGAGATATTGTACGATGCCCATAGCAATAGCACTACTAATATGAAGAAAAAAAAGCTGCATGATTATTTCATCTGACGAGCATGGGGTAATCTGGAACGAAATACATAGATATTTGGGCCTCTTGCTTAAAAGCGACCTACATTGATGCATTTTTTTAAATTAACTACGAAATTGTTTTTCTTAAAGCATGAACTGTAACATTTATCTTAATTGCAACGGAAAGAAAAGAATCGTTAGCAGTAAAATTGCCAAAATTTTAGTCGTTAGCCGTAAGAGCCATTACCATATTGAGACCTTCTTCTGAGTCAGTAAACGTTTCGAAAGACTGAAAAGAGTGTATTGGTCTCGCTGTGAAGTCGATCTTCACTACAGAATCACCTATTTGCGGAATTATGAAAAGAAGACTAGGCAAACATTCAAGCCCAAACGAAATTGCTCCTCAACGGTTTGTGTTAGGAATGCTCTAAAAAAGGAGCCGTAAACGTTCCCTGCAGTTTAGCCTAAGCTGAACACAGTTTATAGAGAATTGATAGTCAGCTCAAACGCTAAGCTGATTTCTCTCCATTGTCTAGGTTGCAATGGAGGGAGATATATTGGCAAATGGAACTGATATAAATAAATACACGAACCAGTAATTGCTGATTAAAAGACGAGCTTTGCGTCGGAAAAAAATTTTATGCAAACTAGCTGGCTGCACATTGAATGTGCAGCTAGCTAATTTGCATAAGTAAGTCAAGCCAAAGTTTGACGCCTCTTGGTGGCATGAGGTGTTCGATGAACATTCCAGGACATCCGATAATCGCTATAAAAAAGTTAATAAAGCCCCCCTCGAATGAAATGGAAAAAACCGCCACTTTCGATCATTACATTTCTTATCATTTTCAAGATACAACTCTACTTTGTCCCTCATTTTCCAAAAACAAGAGTCCAGAGAAATGCCTCATACAAACTTAACGGGTCTAATTAAAAAAAACCTAAGGGGCGGTACCCTAAGTTTATTTTCTCTGTAGAGACAATAAATGTCTTAAAGAAGTCAACAGTAAATCGTTAACACAAGGTCCACAAATAGTCCTGACCAAATGTTACATAAACATATAACAGGAACACTTTAAAACACTTTAAAACACGTGAAAAAGAAGAAACTCAAAAAAAGCCTAAAAAAGCGGCATCAGTAAAGCTGACTTCACCTCCATGATCGAAGACCTGGGCCAATCTAAGGCTAACTCCGACAAACCCTTCTTTACACAGGTCATGGTTTTGAACTTTTAAAGTCCAGAAACTGCGTTGATTAGATAATCCAGAGAATACACATCGCTTTCAACTGATGGTCTCCCCGTTCAGTCTACAAGCTTCGACGCAGTGCAACTATTCTTATAATGACCTTTTCTGTGCGAAGGTTTTGGAACGGCATTTTTAGCTTTACCGAAGACACCACTCTTGCCAAAATCGACTATAATAGGAGAGAAGCTGGTCTGAAACACCGTTATCGCATTTTAGGTCATTGTGAACAAATATACACGTACGAATATCGTCTTACGCGTCTGCCGTGTAAGGAGGGTAAAGCCTCAAGAGGGTGTAGAAGAGATTAAAAAAAACCCTCAGGTATACACTATCCAAGAGGGTATAGAAGAGATTACAAATAACCCTCAGGTATATACTACCCAAGAGGGTATAGGAGAGATTAAAAGTAACCCTCAGGTATACACTACCCAGGAAGGTATAAGAGAGATTGAAAATAACCCTCAGGTATACACTACACAAGAGGGTATAGAAAAGACTAAAAATAACCCTCAGGTATACACTACCTAAGAGGGTACAGAAGAGATTAAAAAAAACCCTCAGGTATACACTATCCAAGAGGGTATAGAAGAGATTACAAATAACCCTCAGGTATATACTACCCAAGAGGGTATAGGAGAGATTAAAAGTAACCCTCGGGTATACACTACCCAGGAAGGTATAAGAGAGATTGAAAATAACCCTCAGGTATACACTACACAAGAGGGTATAGAAAAGACTAAAAATAACCCTCAGGTATACACTACCTAAGAGGGTACAGAAGAGATTAAAAATAACCCTCGGGTATACACTACCCAAGAGGGTATAAAACAGATTAAAAACAACCCTCAGGTATACACTACCTAAGAGAGTATGCAGGAGATTAAAAATAACCCTCAGGTATACACTACCCAAGAGGGCACGAAAAATTGAATTCACATTAATTTATATCAGGAGACCGCTCTTTGTCTGGACTCTTTCTTTTGACTGAAATTTGAGGCATCCACCGTTAACTTATACAATTATTATCCTTTACTAGTTCCCGAATGTCGTTGTCAAGCTCAGTTATTCTTGACAGACAAGAATCTTTGCAACTTCCCATGATATTTCGACTGGAGGTATTTCCCGCCTAAAGTATACAGTCGAGAGCGATTTGATTTACCGCATCAACAACAGGATTATATTTTGAGACCTCGCGAATCAATCTGCTGGAATTCTCCCTGTCTAATTAGTCCGGCACAGAGACCAATTGAAGATATGCGAACATGTTGTTTGGTTACCTGGCGTTGAACGAACAGCCTTTGTTCGCGCGCTTGAGACCTGCTGGCGGGACAGAACGTATTGTACTCTACACTGATGACAGAAATATAGCGCCTCCGTAAGATGCATGCTGCGATTTTTTTCGGGGCCAAAGCTCGTCAAATCTCAGTGAAACAGCCGCTGCAATGAACTTTATCAAAAACTGACGTTCATGTATGAAATCGCCCAAGTTAGAGGAGTGTTTCTTGCAACGTAAAACTTTCAAAAGTTTCGTGTGTGTCCTTTACAAAAAAAAAAAAGCGTTTTGAAAATAAACAACGATAAAACTCGCAACTAACTTCCATGTCATCTTTACCACTTGAGTAAGATGCATCAAAATTCTCGGTAGAGCTTGCTGAAGGTAGGTATACATCGCTATCGGACATTATTTCAAGAGTATTTCAGCGCTGACTGTTACAAGAGATGTGAGAGATTTGTAATTTTCACAGTTTTCTACGTCATCACTCACTAATTGGTTACCAGCCATGGGTCACTTTGTAGACAAAGTAAGAGCACTTTAAGGCCCGAGAAAACCTAGTTTTAAGTTTTTTTGACATTTTTCTTTTCACGGAATTGGTTTGTACATATGATAAGCTAAATGTTTCTGCGAAGCAAAATTAGCGTAATAGGCACTTTGATAATTTACTTTTAATTAAGTAGGGAATTGCCATGGAAAGTGTCTGACGTTCATGTATTAAATAAAATCGCCTAAGTTTAAGGAGTGTTTCTTGAAACGTAAAACTTTCAAGACTTTCGTGTGTGACTGTTAATTAAAAGAAAGCGTTTGAAATTAAAGAGAGATGTCAGAAGGTTTAGATTTACAAAACTGCAAAAAGAGAAAGAAAACTAGCAAAACTGCCAAAATTTTAACCGTTAGCCGCAAGAGCCATTACCATGTTGAGACCTTCTTCTGAGTCAGTAAACGTTTTAGAAGACATAAAGGAGTGTATTCGTCTCACTGAACAGCATCACCAATTTTCCAATTTGCCGTAATCCGAAAATATGTTAGACAATTCAGTCTTGACTTCATTTTAAGATTGGCAAATGGAAGTGATATGAAAAATAAACGAACCAGTTTCAATTCCTCTACTGCAGTAATTGCCGATTAAAAGTATGTCGGTTACAATTAGTTGAACGCAAAGCTAAGGTCGAAGTATATCAAATCTCAGTGAAACAACCGCTGCGATGAACGTTATCAAAAAGTGTTTTATGATAGATGTTTCTGTCTGACGTTCATGTATTAAATAAAATCGCCTAAGTTTAAGGAGTGTCTCTTGAAACGTAAAACTTTCAAGACTTTCGTGTGTGACTGTTTATTAAAAGAAAGCGTTTGAAATTAAAGAGAGATGTCAGAAGGTTTAGATTTACAAAACCGCAAAAAGAGAAAATCTACCTACCATCAATTGTTAAACGATCCTTTTTCAACGATGCACTTGATGAGTATCTATCCTCGACAGAACATTCTTTAAGAATGATTTGCAATGTATTTTTGCCACATTGATATTTAAAGCGGATCGCATTTTATTGTTTACCACAATATTTGAAACATTGATGAAGGTATTAAAGTAAGCTTTCTTTCCATCAGCGAATGAAAATATCTCAAGTTTTGCCACACCTGCTAATTGCTCAAACTTATGGCTGGTTTCTTTTCTAGTTTTAAGAAGAATTATCAAGTACACACCAGTCGGCTACAGATCAAACAAATCTAACAAACTCTTGTAATATCCGTAGACTCAAAAACCCACAAATAACCATTTGTATTCACTGGAAAGTTCTCTCTGTAGGGGCAGTTAATAATTATTTACCAAAGTAGAGGTGGATATCGATGGAGATTATCTCTATCATTTTCACCAACACTCGCTCCGGGTAAACAAGTATTTTAGTATATGCCTGACAGAAAAAAAAAAAAAAGTTATTTATTTCAGTCAATAAACTGAAGAGGAGTCTGAAATTAAATTCTCGACGTGAGATTTGTCTCTACGGCTGAGTGGAGCTGAGTGTTACTCGCTAATCACTTCCTAGCTAACCAATCAACGTGACGAAAAGCCCTATTTACCGGTGTGGGAAAAACTAAAATGAATAGCTTACGCTCGAGATTGCAGCCTTATAGGATGTTTTAAAAGAGAATCGCAACGTTTTTCAAAATATTATGTGCTCTATTCGTGTTCCATTGGGGAACATTAGCAGTCCTTTGTTTCGGTGACTATTGATGTTAAATGTTTCGAAAATTGTAATTTTTGAACTAAATTTTGAATTGGTCGATTTCAGCTCCGTTTTTTCGAAAAAAAACTATTTTGAATCTATTTCGGAAAAATGAAATGCGTATTCTTTTTTTTACAAGTAACGAAGAAGAGCTACGTACATAAACGCGTTGGAAATTAAAAGTCTAGAATTTACTATAGCCTGTTTTATATGGTTTTAATAATAAAATAGATACTGCTTTT